TCCACTCCAGGGGAAGGATACTGTAAATCTCCATTCCCTCCCCACTCCAGAGGAAGGATACTGTAGAATCTCCATTCCCTCCCCACTCCAGGGGACGGATACTGTAAACCCCTATTCTCTCCCAATCCAGAGGAAGGATACTGCAAAATCCCCATTCCCTCCCCACTCCAGAGGAAGGATACCATAAAATCTCCATTCCCTCCCCACTCCAGAGGAAGGATACTGTAGAATCTCCATTCCCTCCCCACTCCAGGGGAAGGTTACTACAAAATCCCCATTTCCTCCCAATCAGCTGGCACTTGGGAGGCAGAGAATAGATGGGGGCGGGGCCAGCCAGAGGTAGTGTTTACCGGTTCTCCGAACTATTCAAAATTCCTGTTTCCGGTTCTCCAGAACTGGTCAGAACCTACTGATTACCACCTCTGATCATATTGTACATGGCTATATGCTTGGAGTAGGATTCCTCCCCCCTCTGGTGTCTGCGTGCGTGCGTTTGGCTGTTTGTGTGTGTCTGTTGTGTGTTTGTGTGTCTCTGTGTTTGTGTCTGTGTGTGTGTGTGTGTTTGTGTGTCTCTGTGTTTGTGTATGTCTGTGTGTGTATGTAAGAAAAAGAGCACTCTGTCTCTTTACCTGTGTAATTCTTGGTTGGGCATCTGGACGCAGCATCTGCTTTCTCCAAGGAAGAACTTCCTTTAGCTGAGCCTTCACACACAAGAGCCCCTGGTTTATCTTGGGCTCCTGCGCTTTTTAGGCAAACAGTCTGGACACTTGGTGGTAGAGGTGGAGGTGGGGGTGGAAGAGGAGGTGGAGGTGGGGGCACAGATAGTGGTGCTCCCATGGCTTCCTTAGGAGGTTCCGGCCCATGCGGCGGTGCAAAAATCTGGATGGGAAGATCTCTGGGAGGCTTCTGTGACGATGCTTTGGAAGTCCTGACTTGTGTCGGATGGGCATTCCTGGATTGCTTGGCAGCTGGACCTTTTCTTGTTGGACCAGCTTGTGGAGGAACAGTTGGCGGTCGTCTCGGTCCAGCCTGCTTGGAGTTGACGGGCTGAGAGCGGGAAGTCTTCAGCACAAACTGTGCAGGACATTTCTGCAAGGTGGGAAGGCATCCATTTTGAAAACGGCAGAGAAGCTGATTGCAATTCATCCACTGTGGCTGTCAATCCCTTGGACGTCCCAAAGCTGCTTTTCCAAAAGGCCACGGAACTTTCTGGTTCTTTTTTCTCCCTTGGAAACATTTTGTTTCTCATCCAAGAAGATTCTTCAGGAATCGAAGAGTTGAGAATTGAAGGATCTTCTTGGATGAGAGCCGAAACCTTTTCAAGGAACCAAACCAAGAAAGTCCAGTTGCCTTTTGGAAAAACCCCTATGGGGCAACCGTCACTTGGGTGATTGAGAATCTCTATAGACAGACACACAGACATGTTTTCCATATCCCGTGGTGTTCTCAGACAGGGGTCTCCAACCTTGGCAACTTTAAGCCTGGCGGACTTCAACTCCCAGAATTCCCCAGCTAGCTTTTGGGAGTTGAAGTCCGCCAATAGCAATAGCAATAGCAGTTAGACTTATATACCGCTTCATAGGGCTTTCAGCCCTCTCTAAGCAGTTTACAGAGTCAGCATATTGCCCC